TCTTCTGTCCTCGTTTGCATGGAATGGAAAGCTGAGCATGGTGCTTAGATGGAAGTTGCAGTGAGCTTCAACAGGTGTCCTGATCATTCCAGGAATTTGGAATGTGCCATTGCATGTTGCAACAGATATGTCTAGATGCACTGTCTTTTTTTTTTTTCATAATGATATTGGAAAACAAACAAAAAATTCTTACTAATCTTAGTGGTAAGAGAGAAGACAATGATCTGTGATGTACCTGCTTGGTCTGCATAAATTAATATTTTCAAGATTATTGGATTGATTTTATATTAATTAACTCATAGCAAGGACTCCTTGATTTATAAAGATCCAGGCCAAATTTTTGGTATGGGTAGGTGATCATTAATTTAAAGATAAGTTAACTTGACCTTTGATATCACTGGCTTAATATGAATTTTTTAATTCAGTCCACCTAAATGAAGTTTTATCATGTGCAGAGCAATCTAGTGTATAAATGTAAGCTTGTTCTTCTTACTATTTAATAAATTTTATACTAATGTATTTTAACAGGCCAGGTAGGTTTATGGTTTCCCACTGGATTAGCAGTAAGGGTTTATCTTGTTCTTTTTCTTTCCTGAATATCTTCATGTAGACCTTGTCATTCAGCTGCCCACATATTGACTGGGCAAATTGCCTGTTTTGTCTCAGACTAAATAAAATTTAAGAATCTGCTAGCAGTACTAAAAATCGTGGAAGAGGTTATACAAGCTGTAGCTGCAGAAAGAATTTTCATCACTCTATAGTAATGAAAGTTGTCAGTGTTGGTATGGAGAGGGTTTGTTCTTGTTATTTGAGTTTTCCCTTGGCTGTCTGTTAAGAGGAATATGCTGAACTAAAGGAGGACATCAGCAGCATGCAATAGAAGATTCACTATAACTCTTTCAGTTCTTCTGGGAGGGATATGGAATACAAACAAATAACTAACACTTAAATGGCCTGTCTGTGCTGTGACTGTTATGCCACTGATAAAAATAGGTCCATGGTCCAGTCTATGGCATGTGAGGAATCATTGCTATCATCTGGACAACACAAAAATTAAGGCTTGAGCCTTTATTTGGACTTGGAAGAAAGTGGCTGTGGGGAATAGGCTCAAACTTTCTAGTCTTTGACTGCTCAACACTCGTGTAAGTTAATGCCAAAAAAAGAAAGAAAGCACACTTGTGTCCCAGGTTCTCTAAAGCTTACATCAGTTTAGGGTAAAATCAGAAATAAGTACACTCTGTCCACTCTTATAAGTACTGTCAAGTCCTTAACCAAAAAGAGAATCGCCTTGAAATTTATTGAATATTTTTGAAAAAAGCCCTTAGGAAACATGTAGATTTAAGAAATCTTCTGTCCACATATGTCTGTCATTCTTTTGTGACTTCAGCTATAAATGGCTTCCTTTAGACCAGGTTATTTCTTAGAGCTATAGTTATGTAAATGTACCCTAACCACATCCATTGTTTTAGAGTGACTATATATAGAATTCTATAGCTCAATAATCTGTATTTGATTGAAGGTCGAGGTTTGTAAACTGAAGGGTATCTAAGGTGAACCTGTTTCTGTCCTGTGCTGTGTGTGTATATGTCAACTGGTGTATTGAATTTGCTATGTTACTGTGTAGTTCCCGTGAATGCTTTTCTCACTGTATAAAACTTCCTGCTAACCAAGAATGATGAAAGATTTCACTTCAGAGTTTTCAACATGAATATTCTTTACAGTTCGGCGTCTTTTCTTGGGAAAGGGAATTTACAGAGTTTTCATGCATAGATTTAATCTCATTTATCATGAAACTCTATCTGTACAGGGAAAATCATGCATACCCGTGTATTTATGGATCTATATGAGCAAAAGAAAAAATTTATTCTCTTAGAGCCTTAGAAGTAAATTAATTTATCTGTGATGTTACTTGTAGTCGTCAATTTTTAGTTGTAATTGTAATTTTGCATGTGATGCACATGGAACTTAATGAATCTTACAAAAAACCCAAAACCCAAGTGTTTTACCTGGTCTGTTCTTTAAAAAGTTGACATAGCTTTCATTAACCATATTATCAGGACGTATCTTTACGTCTGTATTATATTATAAAGTTTCACTTTTACTAGTTATTTCCAATTACCCATTCTTAATCCAGATCAAATACTGAAATATATTTAATAACATTTAAGAGTTTTGAAGGATAATATGCTTTCTACATGACAGCTAGAATGAATGACAAATTTCACCTGGTTTAAGAATAAAAATATAGCTATCTTTCATACTAGTGTTTGGTCTGGATGTTCTTATGAAACATTTATATATAGATGATTTCCAGGTTAATGGTAGGACATTCCTTACTTTTAAATTGAACTAATGCTTCAGAAAGCACCTTGACCTTCACTGTTCAACAACTTCAGATACGCCTTGGGCATCTTTTAAATTGCATCAGCTCACAAAGCTCTGTGCTTGATAAGTTGACAGGCCAAATATCATAACTTGTCGTCTGTGATTTGCTAGTATTTTAGGATTTAGCAGGACTATTTGAAAAATCTGTTAAATAGCGAGCCTTATTTCTGACCCCTACAAAAAAGTGACATTTTTCTGTCTTTCCTTCTTAAAAGTGGACATTCCTATAAATCTATTTAAAAAGAGCATAAAGGACTTAATGGAAGTAAGAAGTAATAATAATTAATATTGCACATTAATAATGCAGTGTCTTATCTAAGATTTCAGTTAGATTTAACCTCAGTTTGCCATGTTCCAAATTTTAAAGCCTTCTGTTGCTTACCAAAATACTTTGGTTCAGACTTACTCCCCTACTTAATTTTGAAGCTTTTTTCCCCCAAATACAATATTTTTTCATATTCATGAGTGGAGGAAAATATTTTCTAGTGATACAGTGAAAATTACAAAAAGAACTTGGAACAGATAGTACTGCTTTGTAGAGTGTTGTAAATGGAAACAACATGGTAAGAATTTAATGGTTTTCTTCTGGCTATATTGTTTATATGAACTTCAACCACAGGCAGCTAAATTAAAATGTGATACAAATTCTATCTGCTTATATTATTGGAAGCGTAGTATAAAATCTGCTCTTGTTTAGATTTTGTAACTTGATTTAATGCTGCTTTTCATATCCTAAAGAAACAAAAGAAACATTTCTGTCAATATTACCGTAACTGCCATGATATTCTGTTCAATTCCTGTTAGTTTGATAACATTTTACGATAGAACTCTGTTCTCTTGAAGGTGCTGTGTGTCCTTTAATGAAAGCAGCTGCCCGTCATCTCAAACAAATCCACAGAGACAGTCGTGGTGTATCAGGTAAATGGCCAAGCTAATATGGTTATCTATATTAATTAGATAGTCGTGATTACTGGATGTAATCATTGTCTTACTGAAGCTGGCTTTAAAATTGAAAAGCTAGGACAGAATGCCACCCCCAAGCAGCAAAAGCTGCTGCTGCTCTCAGGAAGGTGACATTAAAATCAGAACGTTTTTCCTCGAAAGTATTGATTCAAGTTCAGCAGCCACACTAATTTCCGTATTTTTTTCCTAATCATCTTGCATTCTTACCAATTCAGACAATAACAGGAACCAGCAAATTAATTTTTCAGGTTTTAAAGTCATCTACCAAGTGAATTTTGTATGAATAGTTTTAATAAAAGGAATATTGAAAGATTCTCTGACTTTAAATTTTACTTTTCAAAATAGTTTGTCAGTCTATATTCTAGAAATGCTAATATGCTTGTATTCAAGTATGCTAAAAATTATTATTTACTTCTGGGTTTTAAATTCCATTGAATTGTATCATATTGTGTTCTATTTTACAGGGTTTGATCTGGCAGAAAGCTTTTCTTTAAGGCAAACATCTTGTGGTGGGGAAAAGATCTGTTTTAAACTGGGAAGTGCACCTCTCATTAGAGATACAAGGTAAGGTACTTTTTTCATGCTTAATTTTTAAAAGATAGAGCTCAGACTCAATGCTACTAATTAACTGAATCACTGAACATGTATCCAAAGAATGCCACAGAAAGCAGTATGACTGTTTTTAGACTTTTTTGGTTTTCTTCTGTGGGACCTATTTTTATTTGGATGTGCTTTGATTCTGCAATCTGGGAATATGTAGGTAGTAACTTAATTGTGAATAGCACTTTCTCAAACCACAATTCTAATACTGAAAACTCTTCTGTTAATGCATTAATATTTATAAAACAAAGGGAAAAAACCCTTTCACGGTATGACAGGAAGTATTATACTAATCTCCCCTCAGTGAAGTTGTCTGTCCTCTCTCTCACTACTGCTGGCAAGACTAAAAACAGAGTATCACCATTTCCTTGAATGTTTTTTTTTTATTTTCCTGATATTCACATTTTGCCTTTGAACAACAGCAGAATAGTGGGCACTCAGTGTAGAGGAGAAAGTAGGCAAAATCCTGTTCTGGCACACGGTGGGCTGAAAAGCAGAGACTGCATGAAAAATCAAAAGGACAGTGAAAGAGAGTAAGGCACAATTGGATTGGATGGACTTAAGCTTGCATAGGGAGAAGGAAATGTCAAGAAGCAGTTAGGAATGTAGTTTCAAGTTCCCTGTGCTCAGTGGAGAGAGAGGATCATCTCAGAGCTTCTTGGTTGAGATGTGCTCTGAGTCATGGGACTGTGGTTTCTGTACAGCGTGTTCCTGTGATGACGAGGGGAGCAACTGTATTCCCATGTCTTCAGGTTGGGTATTTTCTATTATTGCAAGAGGTCTGGCTCCAGCTTGCCTAGTAAAAAACCCACACCTGGTCCTTGGACTTCCCCTTTGCTTGGATCCTGGGCATAGCACAGAGGGACTGTGAGCAGCATGAGGCCAGGGGGAAGGAAGAAGAGTTGGAAGCACCCAGACACAAAACAAAGTGATCTTCGTGAGAGGAACATGGCTACGGAAAGAATTTATCTAGCAATTTAGAATATTTAGGTTCTCTAAGTTTTTTCTGGTATATTAGATACTGTAAGTGCAAATTTTTTATGCTTGTGTAATTCTGAGAAGTTAAACTAATAATTATATATTTTTTAAAATACATTGGACATTAGCTATTGAAGGAGAATTGACTAGACAAAATTACTTGACACAAAGAGTGCTCTTCTTTTATGAGGACCTTCCCAGCATAATGCAGATTGTCTTTAGCAGAGGAACAAGAGATAGTAGGTACCACTCATAAATGCCTTTACTGAAAATATTTTGAGGGATTTTTAGTAAGAAAAATTTTCTTTAAAAAAAATATTTTTTTCTTTTTTTAAGCAAGTTTTCATTCAAATTTATGGGAAGTTGAGGAAAACATGATACACTAGGAGGGTAGAAAATCAAGGCAATAACAAAACATGTCGAGCAAGTTTCCTTTAGGAATAAAAACGAAGTAGTGCTAGGAAATGCATCTTGTGCACTGGCTATATTTTGAAACAGTAAGAAAATTGGTGCCAAAAATGGAGCAGAGAGGAGCTAGAAATTGCAAAAGGGTTAATTATTTAAAATTCATATTACTTTGAGGTAAAATTCTTGATTCAAAGTATTGATTTCTAAGAATTTCTGAGTAGTTTAAGAAGTGGTCTGAGAGGTCATGTTGAAGTTAAAAGACATTAAGCTTTTTTCTGGGCTTTATTTAGTAGGCCTGAATACTAATGTCTGTTTTTTCTTCTTTTGAAAGCAGTTTATTAGTGAAGGCAATGAAAATGGGGAATTCACACCACGGCTGATAGCTGTGACCTAACAAAGCCCTAAATATTAGCTATTGCAAGGAAAGTCACAATGGTTGTGTTGTTTTGGCTTTTTTTTTTTCCCCCTATATATTTTTTCCTATATTTTATCTTATCAGTTTTTTGAAGGGAGGGAAAAATGACTAGTTTTTCTTCATTGTCAGTGTAACTTGGGCAGAGACTAAAGAATTTCATTTGGGGTAAACCTGGAAGGGAGATGATTTGTTTTTCATGGTCTCTTGGTTCTCACACTCCTCACCATCCCTGTTATTTCCTTCTGTATATCCTCATAAAAGAAAAAAGTAAAGAGAAAATCTTTCTAGTTTCTCCTAAAAATATGCATCTCTAATGGATGAAAAATTTATCTAGATGAAGCAACTGAGATGATGATTAATAAAATGCATATCAGTGCTAATATATTAATAAAGTATTTTTTATTAATAAAGCAGAAAAATTGATATAGTTAGGCAGAAAATTAGTATCATGTTATTGATGATAATAAGATTTTCAGTCAGCTTGCTGTGCAAGTAAGTAGTGCCTTATACATATATCTTCCTGAACAATAAAAGGGTTAATAGTATTTTCAATAACATTCAACCACTGCAGAATTTCTGTTAAATCCTTGTTCTTCATGGCAATAATCTCGCTCATCCTTTATTAACCTTTCTTCACAGAAGTGCATGTCATTAAAGGATGAATTCTAGTCTTAATTATTTCAGTTTGTTGAAAATAAAATGGCTTTCTGATATTGAGGTAACACTTCAGAAAAATAGTTTTTAGAAATTTTGTTTGAAATATGTTACTTTTTAAACTCTTCTGAAGTTTTAGGATTTTTTTTTAAATAAGGAGAGATGGAGTCAGGAGCACAAAGTCAGGGTTTGGGTTTTTACATGGTAGGGTTACAATGAGGGATTGTCAGAAACTTGGCTATCTGTCATCATAACCTCATAATTTACTATCTCAGTTACCCATGTGATGCCTTGAACATATAATTTAATTAATTATTTTTATTTAGACCTACTTCTCTTACATTATGTCAGGTTGTGTGGTTCCAGACCCCTTGTGTTATTAGATGGCTTTAGGGATCATTCCACCTCAGAAAATATTTTAGTAGATGTGGCGTGCAGTAAGCAGCAGAACAGTGTTTGTTATCCATCCTGCAGGAAATTGAGAGTATCTGATTAAGCTGACTAGCAAGTATCAAGTAACTTGGCACATCTCCTCTTGCATTTCATTCATTCAGTTGTAGTGTGGGTAATAGAAAGCTATGCTGTGCCATTTTTCTTCTGTGATGCCATTTTGGTTTTTTTCAATGGACCTGGAGTAGTGTTTCACCTATTTATATGTTGTAAATAATTTACAATGCACTGTCAGCTTGGGAAATTGATTACGTTTATTTATGTTGGACTTCAGCTGTAGGTCTTTATCTTTTTCTGTGATGCAGTTCTGTATATATTTTGTCTTGTGATAGCAGATGGATAGCTTTTCTTATGCTTTATGTAAATGACTGCAAAATATTAATGTAATGCCAGTAATACCTTCCTGATTAAAACTGTGAATTGATTATTGAAGTTCTTCGCGGACTTTAACAGAAATTCTTCCTGTGAAAAGTAGTGCAACTGAACTTTTGAGTTGTAAAGAAACTAGAAAGTACTGTTTACTACTTTAGTAATTAGACACTCTAATTATATAGTCATAATCACACCACAGAATCATAGAATAATAGTAACTATATAATAGTTTAGTTTTAGCTCAACAAATACCTATGGAGTCATATTTCTTCTCCAGACACTAACATGTACTGCCCATGTAGTGTATTCCAGTGTGGCACAGAGTTTGCTGACAAAGGAGAACAGGGCTTTGTGCTGGTAGCATTCCTTTAGACCTGCCAGCAGTATTCAATATTTCTGGACATGAAGCCTTTTAGGCTAATCTTTGGTCTTCAGTTGCCTTAGAGTAAATAGCTCAGTGATGAATTAATTTCACTGTCTTTCTCTAAAGATTCGTGAGACATCAGTTGTTCCTTATTCTCACTTTTCTGGGTTTCTGGTGGGCCATTTTTTTCCTCATTTGAAAGCACCAATAAAGGAGATAATAAGCTGATTTCAGCTGAGTTTCAGAATGTTCTTGAAATGGATGTTCATGATTAGTAAATCTTCATGGCACAGTCACAGCTTTCTTATTTTGTAGTTTATTTGGCTTGACAAACCATATTAATTTACTGAGGAGATTATCTTGGCTGTTAGATGATCTGAGTTACAGCAGTTGGGATTACTCTCACGACTCTTTCAGGAATTCCTCCCCTTTTGTTGTATGATACTACAAAAGAGCTTGGATTTTGACTGTATTTGGACTACGAGCTCCACCAGCAAAGTTGTTACTTCTGCCAGAAGAGCTGTGGCTTGGGCCATATTTCAGAGAAAGTGTTTCACCTCCTTGGGATGTCTAGTTACTGGAGGAAGAAATGCCATTCCCAATGCCTCAGTATATTCCAGGCGGGAGAATTCTTTCTGCTAAGAACAGAAATTGGTGATGAATAATATTTATGTGGGGTTTTCTGTTTGTCTTTAGCGCTAACCTTTTTAATCACAAAAAAATGTGGAGGGTATTCCATTTTCCTAGAGAACAGCTGGCATCAAGTGAGAGTGTTCCTGTGCTCACTATTAGAAACCTTTTCATAGCCAGCAATCTGCTTTCCCAAAGCCACCTATCTCTACATGATTTTGCAACCATTTATTTTGCTGTCTATTCTCTTGGCTGTACCTGATGAGATCACTCTCTTCATCAAACTAAAATATACTGAGTTTCTTTCATAAACTTCAGCTCTCCATGAAGTCCTTGTGGGCATGATTTTTTATTTTTTTTGTACTTGGCATCTGTTTTGAGCAGCAGACTTTATTTCAATAGTCTTCTTGAAAAATATTTTAAGGGGTATTTTAGGAAGTTTTATACCTATTTCTTAAAAATGGTATAGAATAGATAGATGTGATAATCACTGATTTCCAAAAAAATTCACTGAAGACTTTTAAAGCGTGACTGAAAGTGACAATGAGGTATTATTCCAGTTTTGAGGCAGTAGTTACAGTTTTTCAAACCAGCTTTTATTTGTGCTCACACAAAGTCCCGCTAGCCTTTGGTCTGTTAAAATATTAGATGGTTATGCAAGAAAACACCTCTCCTTTACTATATCATGTATTT